CCGCGCCCGGCCCTGCCTGTCCTGGGAGCCCCCGCGCCCGGCCCCGCCTGTCCTGGGAGCCCCCGGTGCCTGGGCCCTGCCTGCGGGTTCTGGGCCCCTGTGTGCTGGTGTTGTAGCCGCGGCAGCCAGGCTGGAGGGGCGCAGGAGCCCTGGGAAAGCGCGTTCGGAAACGCAGCCCCTGAGCCCAAGGGCATCTCTTCGGGGACCCCACAGTCCGTGGAAAGTGCGCAGTGGCCAGGGCAGGGATTTTTCCCACCCGGGAGCACGCGTGCTGTTCTAATAACTCGCCCCTTAATAGCTTTTAGCTCATTATAATACCAAAAACACACACCCATGGGGAGATTTTAGATGCCATTGACACACTCGTGCACAGTCGCGTGTGAGGTGTCATGCGCATGCGTGCCCAGAGGACGTCCCAAAATGTGCTCACTAGTCAAGCCCCTGCATGGCCCTTCATGGATAATCCTGTAAGACGCTCATCTAGAGGGTCTCCCAGCGTGGTTGGGGGATATACTGTTTTCCTTAACTAAAAGCTCCAGGGAAAGAAAGCTCTAGTCTTTGGCTCTGTGTCCTGGGTGGCAGGTTCTGTCTTGTCCTCTGAGCTCCTGTCTCTTTAAATAAAGGTTTCTCAGCCCTTTACCTCTTGCGGTGCATCTCCTATCTGAATTATTTCCTCCAAGAAGACCAAGAACTGGAGGATTTCCATGCCTCTCACCGTGACGGTGCTACCCAAACATCAGTCATTGTCCTCTAGGTCCGCTGCCCTGCACAGGCCAGTCACCAAGAGCAATGCCAGGGACGAAGGCCTCATTCCAGTGCTACAGCCCAGAGGTGGGCACCCAGTCACAAATCCCTCTCCTTGACCCACTAAAATTAGGAGTTTCTAGACCAGGGAAGAAATGTCACCCTGTGTGGGAAAATAGGAATTAGGGAGAGTGAGGAGGCAGCTACACAGTCATGACCAGGGTGGGATCTGGCCTGAAGGACCTGGCAAGTTTCAGTGCCTTGATACTGTCTGGGGGGCCTGATGGTTGGTTTCCTGAGAAAGGAACTCAGATAAGACAAATGTAACTTTCCCCTGGTTTTAAGATAGGGTGAGTCAATTTCTGTTTATTCAAAAGAAACCCTACATACTAGTTTTACAGGAAATTGGGCCAGTCTGAGTAATCCCGCAAAGACAATCCATAGATGCTGTTCTCCACCCTGCTTTCTCCCCTCAACCCTCTGTGTAGAGGCCCTCTGTCAATGCAGGCAGGAGCAGGACCTTCACACTCTTTACAGTTGCGATATGGTTTGGATCTGTGTCCCCACCCAAATCTCATGTTGAATTGAAATCCCCAGTATTAGGAGTGGGGCCTGTGTGAGGTGATTGGATCATGGGGGTGGTCCTTCATGAATGGTTTAGCAACATCCCTTTGGTGCTGTTATTGTGATAGAGTTCTCACAAGATCTGGTTTTTTAAAAGCGTCTGGGCAGCTCCCTCTCTTCCTCCTGCTCAGACCATGTAAGAAGTGCCTGCTTCCCCTTTACTTTCTGCCATATTGTAAGCTTCCTGAGGCCTCCCCAAAAGCCAGCACCATGCTTCTTGTACAGCCTGTGGAACTGTGAGTCACTTAAGCCACTTTTCTTTATAAATTACCCAGCCTCGGGTATTTCTCTATAGCAGTGGGAGAAAGGACTAATACAAGTTGCAACATATTTCGTGGCCTGGATGTACCATAGTTTATTTAAATGGCCTCCTTGAATAAATATTTGTGTTGTTCACAGTGTTTTTATATCTCACATGTCAAAGTCAAATACATTGTGGGGATGAATCTCTAAACGTTTTATTCAGGAATCACAGAATTATAATTCAGGCATACACAGACCACAAATGTCTTTGGTGTGTCTGATGAACAAAGAGAAGGTGGAAAGTTTTATTTAAGAAATGTTACCTATTATTTAGAAAGAAAACTTGTGAGCACTGGTAGAGGTTTGGAGAGCTGGCAGGCTCTGATGGGTGAGTGACACAGTAGGAAGGCTTTGCCTTTGAGTCACAGAAGATTGTACCAGCAGCTGTTAGGTACACCTGGTTGTAAAGTTGCAGCAGGCCGTTTCAGGATATGGACTTGCAGATGGTTCTTGGAGCAGGGACGTCTGCCAGAGCCATTTTCCTCTGGCCCTTGGCTTTGTTTGAGTTGGGTATGCCAAGAATAACTCAATTTATGAAATCAACTTTCATATACACAACATTGCAGTTGTCCCTAATGTCATTCCTTACATATACCATTATACCACAACTTCCCAGAAATGAGATCAAAGGACAAATGTTAAATATATTTGCAGTTTACATGAGTATTACTCAGTTGCTGTATCTGGTCTTTGGACAGCTTCGTCATTGAGGAGTGAGTGCTTGTTTTCAAGGCAGTGTTGGAAAGGGTGTCCCCTTATTCACTCTGGATGTCCACCAGTCTGACAGATGAAAATAAGAATAGCATCCAGGTATATTGTCAATTTGCATTTTTAAATTATGAGTGAGGTTGAGCACAGTTTACTCTGGCTAGTGGATATTTACATTTTCCTGTGATCTCTCTACTTATGTCTGTTGTCCATTTTCCTGTTTAACAGACATTGCTTAACAGAAGGCATTACTTGAGTTGCTGACCAATCTCTAAATAGTTGTGAGGTAGGATATCAGCAGGACCTGTTTTCCAAGGCTTGATCATGACCCTGTGATCACAACAGGATGTAACAAAGAAACTGACCCAAGCCAGCTAGGACCACGATGGTGACAAAGTGACTTGAGTTGCCCTCATTGCTCAATATATGTTAATTGCAATACATTCTCATAAGACACTCTCAGCAACACCCTGACAATTTACAAATGCCATGACAATGACCTGGAAGTTATATGGTTCTTGGGAACTCCCTGCCCCTTTTCCAGAAAGTTTGTGAATAACCTGCCCCTTAATTCGCATATAATTAAGAATGAGTGTAAATAGAGCCAGTCAGCAACCATGAGTGCTGCTCTGGGCCCCTCTGCCTATGGGGCAGCCCTGGTCTGTCTACAGAGCAGCCATTCTGCTGTACACTGTTCCTCTAAGAAACTTTCACTGTCAGCTCACTCTTGAATTCTTTCCCCAGTGAATGCAAGAACACCCTCCCGAGCTGAGCCCCAGTGTGGGGGTTCATTGGCATCAGTTGCCAACTGTTTGGAGTTACCCTTCAAGGCGACATCATGACTGCCCTGCACCACACCCTGCTAACCACTGAATGGAACAACCCCCAGTAGCACCGGCCCCCGCCCAACTGTGGGAGTCCACGGCGGGTTTACAATGACTAAGTCAGTGCCATTGGTCCAGATGGTGGCAAATGAGCATGGCTGGAGGCTCCCGGTCAGTCACCACTGGCAGTTAGACAGCCACCAACTTTGTGCATGGGACCAGATGATGGGAGAAAGCTTCCCACCTCCAGATAAAGGTGGAGCTACGGGGGAAATAAGGAGACAGGAGAGGGCAGCTCATCTAACTGGGTGAGGAGGCTGTTGACAGGGCTCCTGAAGGAGTTGGAAGCGGGAGACGTGCCGGGGGGCCCAGCACCCACCTCTGTAGGGGAGGGGGCCTCTTCAGCCTCAATGCAGGCCTCAAAGTGTCAGATCTGTCAGGACTCCATGTGCAAGCCTGGACTTAGAGAATCTGAAGTCCTGCCTGCCTTGGCTGCTCACCTGCTACTTCCTGCCTGCATTGACCATTATCCCTGATAGCCCAGCGGAGCTTCCCCCAGTTAAGATGGCTCACCCCACCTTCCATCCTAACTGTTACTATGATAATG